TTTTACCTTTTTCTTTTTACAGCGACAAGTTGAAAATTACTACTATGAAAAGAACGCGGAATCAGACTAAAATAAATAAATAAATAATTAATTCCTTACCAAAAGTCCTCAACTTTTGGAACAAAAACACCAGAAAAGCAAACCAAAAAAAAATGGTGATTAAATTAAATAAATCCCTACTCCACTCTAGCAGTTACACTTGGAACGAATAAACCCTTGTACTGAAGTAAAGAATATTAATTAATATCATATTTAATGAAAAGGAAAAGAAAAAATAATAAAAAAAAAAATAAAAAAAAGGGAAGAAGAAGAAGATGAACAACTTGAAGATGAAGTAAAGTGTGAAAATCACCTGGCCTCGAACTGGTTCGTGCAAGTTCCAGAAAACATAAGTTTCTATCACATCCAATCCACCGTCCTTTGATTTCTGTATCAAGTCTGGCCACATCTGGTCTCACAAACAAATGAAAATTTGAAATCAAACAGAGGAGAAAAAAAGAGAGTATACATTTGATATCGTTTCATAATCTCTCTGTATTTGATAATTTGAGTGCGCGATAATGTTTGGTGTGTTTGTACTGACATCGGGAGTGCTGCGAGGGTAATGGATCGACCCGGAAATCAGAACCCGCCTCTTCCCGTCGATCAACAGCGCCCGACGGTCGGACGTCACGTTGGCGCCACCGCAAAACGTCGGCGTCGTCGTCGTCAAGGCCAACACCAGAAACAACCCAAAACCCATCGCCATTGCCGTCCCGCCTCCTCCTCTCATTTTCCACCCAAAAGAAGGTACTGATTGTCCACTCTTGCCTTTTTTCTTGCCAGATATAAATAGGAAGAGAAATTAACAATTCATGTTTGTTTTTTTCTCAATCTTCAAGCACTAGATTTGGCCTCGCTTTGGGGACTCGCCTTCCTTTGTCTTGAAAGAAAGAACAAAAGCCAAGAATCCTTTTCAGGGCTTAGCTTAACTGAAATCAAACAAATAATGAAACAGTTTGGAGGATTTAAGGGAAGATTTATCTATCGACAAGACGCTAACTCACGCCATTGTTTTCTTGTAATAATTTCTTTTATTGGCTTGGCATTATTGATGTTGGAGGTCTGTTCAGCTTGTTAGGTGCTGGTAATGGTGGTGTGATGTGAATGTGTGAATTGAAATATACTAATAAATAGGGCGTGAGTGAGTGGGCGGTGTTGGATTTTTGTGGAGATGATGATGATGGTTATTCTAACGGCATATATTTCGGTCTGTTTCTTTTTATTTGAGGGCTTTGCTAGTATTTTCTTTTTATTTATTTGGATAAGATTCTCTTTTATTATTTCCTTTCCTTTGTTGTACATATCGTTCAATCTAAACAAATTGCATGCTCTCTGACTGGTGTTGGGTTGGGAGAGACTAGTGCTTCTGTTTTTGGCTAGTGGTGTTAGTCTGTTTCGGAGTAATGGTGTTGTGGGTTGTAATTTGGGTTTCTTAGGCTTCTGCAAAGGGGAGGGTCTGCTCACAGGTTGGGTCCGAGGCCTGGATTTCTGCTTCAGATCAGCTTTTTCGGTAGTTGGGCGGTTTCTCGGGTTGCTGATGTTTTCTTAGGGTCAACTGTTCGTTCGGTAGATTTGCTGTGGAAGAGCTTTATTAGTAGTAGTTATCTTTGTTTCCGTAGTTTTCTTTCGGTTGTTTGCTTAGGTATTGTTTTTTTGGTTTGGGTCATTTGACCCCTATGCACCCGAGTGTGAACTTATTATCCTGTTGGGATCGTATGCTCGGGCATTACCCTGTTGGGGTCGTTTCTTTTTCATTCTCCTCTTGGGAGCTTTTAGTGTCGTTATGTTTTTGTGGTTTTAGAGTATTACCATGTTGAGGTTGGTTTTAGGCGGTCTTCTGACCTGTCATCCTAGTTTATTTAGTTGTTGGTTGCTTGTATTCAGCTGTTGGCTGTTTGTATTCAACTGGTGGCTGTACTTTTGCATTTGTACGCTTTTATATAATATCTCTATCGTTTCGAAAAAAAAACAAATTGCATGCTCTAAAGACAAAATTAAAGAATCAAATGAAACAGTTTTTCTATGAAGCCAACAGTTAGCTCCATAGTGGTTAAAAAAAGTAATGACAGTGTGATAATGTTTCCCCTTAGGTTTCAGCGTACCCTAATAATTAAAATTGATAATATAACAATAAATAAATAATAATTATAAATAAGTTATGGTTAAAATAGGTAAGAGGTATAAAAATTGTGGCACTATAACCATATATATATATATATATTCAAACGATAGATTCATTACTAAAACACACACTTACAACCGGCTCACTAGCCGGAATAGGGAGGCCTACCAACATCTAAAGGTAGCCTAAATATCACAATACAACACAACAAACACACAAAAACTCCCTAATGAGAGAAACCAAGCTCCCCAATAGGAGAATCACACTCCCCAACGGAAGAATCAACATTCCAAAAAAAAAAAAAAAAAACGGGGATAGAAAACACAAATGCACACAATATGTTGTAGCAAATTATTTATTTATTTTTATCGAGTACTGAATAAAAAGATTCGTTCCCCGAGTCGATCTCTCGAGGAAGACGGTTCGTAATTTAGCTTTGATATTGATCAAACACGAAAAGAAAATAAGTCCTAAACATTCTAATCACGATTGATTTGGGGAATTAACTAAAACATGCTAGAATTAGAAAAACAATTTAAAGAAATAACAATTAAATCTCTATAGAAAAAGAAGAAGTTCTAGGGGTCGGTGATATAGGATATTATACGAGACCGGGTTTAATGGATATAACGAATACATATTGGAGGATAAGCCCACGTATGGACTATGACATACAACATAACGATATGGGTCAAGCCCAACTTGAGCCCAAAAAGGTACACTCCCCCTATAAAAGGGGGCTAAGGTATCACATTCTCTGATTCTCTATTCATTCCATACTACTCTCTCTCTCTCTCTCTCTCTCTCTCTCTCTCTCTCTTGATCTGAGCACTGACTTAGGCATCGGAGGCCCTACGCCGGGTGTTGGAACCCACGAGGATCTCGATATGCACAAATCACAGACAAACATTCAA